GGCACTAACAACCCTTCATTCCATTCACTAGGAAACTCTCCGCTCTTCCATATTTTATTAAACAGTTGCGATATTGGGCGCGTCAATTCCCTAACTCCGGCTTGCAACAATTCTGCAGTAAACCCTTCCGAATCTGCCGCTTTATTCCTTTTCATCGCCTCAATTACTCACTCTTAGCCACCCCCCCAGGGCTAAGATTCATGAGTAAGGCCTCTAACGGGTACCCCCTATAAAAGAATGGGGGGGTACCAGCTACAAAATGACGGTACCCTTACGAGGAAGGGCATGATGAGGGGAGTTGCTTGCAAGCAATTCTGAGCTTCAAGAAGTTCAGCTGCAAGATATAGGAAAGAAGGTTTGGGAAGGGTTAGGATAGGTTTAGACTCTCGTCGCTACGGCTACTTAACCAAGAAAATGTTTGCTTAGAAGAATCAGCACGGATGCACTGTGGTTCGGGTTTGAGTGAGTAGCCGCATTCTACGTCACGAAAACCCTAGGTTATACCGACTCAAGACTGCAAAGCTAATAACCTAAGAGGTGTGTCAGATTGAGCACCTGGCGGGTTATCCTATAGCAGAATCTGCAATCTCAGAATCTGCATGAAGCCTGCATCAGTGCATGCTCGATTGAGGAGCTTGCTGCTGGCTTTTTATTTTAAACAGATAGAGGACGTCCAAGCACGAGAAGCAAGGAGGAGAATCAAAAAAGCAGGCAGCTGCAGCAGATTCAGCACAAGTTTGGGCACAAGCCAGGAGAGTCTGGAGAGTGAAACTTTCAAAGGAGTCTGCCTCTTCTTGTCGTGGTCGCCTCTTTTAAAGCAGAATGGGATGAGCAGCAATGTCTTGCAGGATATCTTCTGTTGCTCCTGTGTATATCAACTGCTACGTACGTCGTTTTCCCGCCTGCCTGACTGTGCAGCATACGGCATGATTGTCATTCTTGGCAGCACGAAGGCATGCTAGAAGACTCAATTATGCAGGTGTTTGCAAAAAAGTTCAGTAATTACCACCGAGCAACTTGGACGCTTTCAGAGAGCTATTATGTGCTGAAGAGCTGTTACAAGGTGAGCCAGCTTGATCTGCTTCAATTGTGCTCTACAGCCTTTGTAGAGTGCGAGTAACATGCTCAATTGGCCAGGCCCGAAGAGCAGCAAGTAGGGTGACAGTTTCAGAGGACTGCAAAACCAGCTGCCCTTCTCCCAAAAGCAGAAAGGAGCTGCCCTCCTATACCCTTCAGGTTATCTGGGGGCCCAGAAGATAAGTAAATTTTTAGTCTGTTCGCACAGCTTTTCTTGCTTGCTCTGCATACCACCATCTGTAAATTACTTTCAAGTACGAAGGGCCTTTCCAATATACTCATGTCATCACAACGAAACGGGACGCTATGACGGCGCAGTGATAGACTCATCAGGTAATGCCGATCCAAATTCAGAGCGGGGGTTTTAATACGTCGCAGTGTAGTCCATTACAACATTGAAGCTAGATGACCATGTGCTATGTAGAGCTTCTTCTGGATCGCTCCTTACTTTCCAAGTTCTTTGGACCTCCTTCGAGTTTTGTATACATGTCTAAACCGGTGTCTTAAGACAGCAAGATAACCAAAGGCAAGGAAACTGTTCCTCTTTTTTCTCAGGCAACTTGACTTCCCCACCTTTTGGTCACACCACCATGTCTATCAGTGCGGACCGTGGGGGTGCGGTGATGGCTTCGGACGGCGGCCCTTTCCGGACCCCAACTCTAGAGGTACACCCGATAGAGTCAATAGCGACCGGGTTTCCAATCATCGATGGCGAGGATCAGGAGGAGACAGAAGATAGAGACGAGAAGCCGGGATGCTTGACTCCGTTGTGGTGAGCGAATGTTGGAGCGCAGAGTGAGAGCGAAGTGCTGGCTAAGATTTCCATTGATTGATCTCGCTGCTGGTTGAATCTCCCCTTGTCATCCACCTCCGCAGTCCCAAAACACCTGTTTCATCACTTATCTTTAAGGGCAAGCTGCTTACCTTAGTATGCGGCCTGTCCAACTCGCTATTCGGGAGCCTTTTTGTCCATCTTACCTCCATGTTTCACACCCTAGCTCACGCCTTTTTGAGCGCAGGATGCTGGCTATCTTCTGCGTGATCAATCTCATCAACTACGTCGACCGGGGTGCGATTGCAAGCAACGGTGTGAACGGACGGCAGGGAAACCACACGTGTCTTCCAGCAGAAGAGTGTTACAGGGGCTATGGCATCCAGTAAGCATACATTGAGACCACTGCGCTATCGATGTCAGGTTGGTCACATCGTGCAGACAGGCCTCTTTGCTTCGTCTCTTGCTTTTCAAAGTGCTCAAATGTCAAAGGCCTCAAATGGGATGCCGCAGTGGTTGCACGGTTCTCGCTAACAGAGTTGACAGGCATCTTGCGAGTTTGAGAAACTCATTCATCAACGAAACCCACATTTAAGGCAGAAAATTTCGCTCATGGAGGAGAACAGGGGAGAGGAGGTCTTCCCATAGATTCAGTGGCTGGGGATCGGGCCCCACGTCTTTTCCTTTGTACGGTTGAGCAACCGCTTCAGCAGGTTACTCGAGATCGACTGCGTTCGAAATGACTGAGACTGTTCAAGTGAAGAGGTCAACGAAATTCATTGCAGCATTCATCATCAGGTTCTTAACCCGGAAGATATGGTTTCCAGGGGCGACTTCCACCTGTCCAACTTCCAGGACGGGGTCCTTCCCGCTGCCTTCATGGTCGGCCTCCTCGTTGCGTCGCCCATCTTTGCTCAGCTTTCTAAGACGTAAGCATTATGTAGTGCAAGCTCTCTTATTACCTGCCCGTTTCGTTCACCTCCCTTGCTCTGTCTCACTTGCATTCGCCTCTCTGATTTCGGACGGGCAATCGCTCTACCACCTTCTTCAGACGTAAGTTTTGGTTGTGATGATTGTTGATTCGCACCCTTTGATCGGGTTATCCACCTCTCGTTGTTCTCAGCATTTTGTCGCCCCCCATCACCTCAAATCGGGTCCTCTAAATTTTGATATGGGAAATTGTCCACTTTCTTTCTAATCGTCTGTGTATATCTCGACCCTCTGCCCAGGTTGGCGGTCGTAAGCTCCCTGTCTCGTACATTTGCTGTGGTTTGTTATTTCCTTTGTCGCTCACCAACATTTGCAGTACTAAGTTTTCTCAGCGCGCAGTTTCTTGAAGTTTCTGAGAGAAGCCTGCATTCTTCCGTTTATTCAACATATCCTGCCTTAACATTTCCAGTCTGTGCACCAGCTTTCTAGGATGCACCGTCACTCCTTTTGTGGTCGTTGCCTGTATCTCCCCTGTTATCTCCACGCTTGCCTCACAACAACGCTTCTGACTCCGCCTGCATCTACTTCTGCAATACTGCGCCTGCATCTACTCGACCCCGAGCCTTCTCCGGACTTCCTTGAACCTCTTGCCTGCAGCTCTCACCAAGCCGCTTCCCTTCACCTTTGAAGATTGCTTGTTATCCTTGGATCACACCGCCAGTTTGTCGTGAACGATCAGATCGTGCCAATTGCCCCCCTACGGTCATTTCTTCAAGTCGCCGAGCAAAGATGTTTACCTTTCCTGCAGGTACAACCAATTTCACTTGATCGGTTGGGGCCTAACGGTGTGGACGATAGCGGTGGGGGCATGCGGGTTTACGGTCGGGTTTTGGTCGCTGACCTTTTGCCGGATGTTCGTTGGGGTTGGGGAGGCGTCGTTCGTCAGCCTTGCAGCGCCGTTCATCGACGACAACGCCCCCGCCGCACAGGTCAGGGCTGACGTCGACTTTCAGGATTATAATTGATTGTTATGTTCATGGCCTAGTTTTGATTGTTAACCTTTTGCTGGATGCTCGGTGGGATCTGGAAGCGTTCTTGGTCAGTGTTGACGTGCTATGCATCGAATGACAACGCCCAGGTTTTAGCTGTCTTCACTGCCTGTTCTTTGTGCTAGCGGTAGCCTGATAGCATCTACGAAAGTCAGACGAATTCAGGGCTATAGTGGCACATGTTTGACGAGATTCTTGTCTCCTCTCCGCTTATCATCTTCGAATGTTTCAAAAGTGACGTCATCATTTGACGTTGTGACGTGCAGAAGTTCAGCTCGCTGGCGATTCTGCTAGCCATCCGCTTTAGCATAGGTCTGCAGCACCCTTTTGTTCGACTTATTTGTCTCGCCTTAGCTTTCCCCTTTCGCCCTCTCACTGCTCAGGCAAATCACACCTATAATCATACTACATTCTCGCCATTGATTCTCGCCAACGCTTAGTCCAGAGGCTGGCAAATTTTATCCAAACGTTTCTCCCGAGCGTGGGCTACCAAAGCAGCTTTCCACCTATCCGTGTCCGCGTATCTTCCGTGATCCGCTCTCCTCTGTCCTTAAACAATTCAAAACCAACGAGAAATCATCGAATTCGTAGTTCCACGACAACTAAAACACGCGATTCTCGTATTGCAGAAGTCCAGCTGGCTGGCGTGCTTCTACTCGTGCATTCCCGTCGGCGTGGCCCTTGGCTACGTGTTTGGCCAGGAGATCGGCGCCCACTTCTCGTGGCGGGCCGCTTTTTGGCTCGAGGCGCTGCTCATGCTGCCCTTCTGCGTCTTTGCCTTTACCGCCCAGGCGCCGGCGTTGCGAGGTGAAGCCCATTCCGTTCCCCCTCTCTTGTTGTTGGGATCCTGTCACGCCTTTAAACAGTGTCACGTTCACGCTGCCCTTCTGCTTCATTGTGTTCACCATCTAAACGCCCATGTTGCGAGGTGAAGCCCTTCGTTCTCGTTGTAATCTCTTGTTGGTCAGTTTATCAATTCTGGTATTAAGAAGATGTGAAAAGCACTTTGCTCGTAAAAGCAAGCCGTCTTTCCATTTTGCCTTCGGATCCTTACGAAATGCTATCGAAAGACCGCTTTCTAACGTGTGCCAATGACGCGTCGCCAAAGACATTTTTTCCCGTCCTCTTCAGTTTTTACATATTTACCATGTTTCCTTACATCTTTGCTTGGCAATTTCTTTAAGAGCCCCCCTCGGATCCGAAGGCAGATACCAGCTCCCCTTAAGAGCCCAAGGAACCGAACTAGAGGCGCCTCTTCGGTTGGTCCGCTCTCTTGGCCTTCTTACCGACCACTCTGGTGTTGTTCGTAATAACCCTACGCGTCTACAAAAGAACTGGTCGGTTGGTCACCCACTAGATCAGCTTTCCTGATGGGACCAGGACTCTGTCCTGGAAGATAGATTGTGACCCCTTTCCGAAAACGACTTATTCCTGACGCAGGTTTTCATGCGCCTGGGAAACGAAAACCGGTCAGGAGCGAAGGCTCCACGGAGCGACCGGAGGAGAGCCGTTCGAAGTGGCGGGCACACGCGGGGGTGGTTTGGGAGGATACGAAGGAGTTGGTGGCGAATCCTGTTTACCGAGCGAACATTATGGGTGCGTTGCCTTTCCTTTGGCTTTCCGTTTTGCTGGGTTGCAAAGGTGCTGAGTTGCTCCTCGAACCGCTGATAGTGTCTGCACGCGGATCGGTTACTTTCCGTCTGCTCACCAAGCGCACAAAATGGGCTTCTCAAAACCTTCTCAAGGTTCACGAGCTATGCCTCGCAACGTCTGGCCCTGCTTGTAGTTCAAGGAAAGTCACTTTCGCCATATTCAAGTCGCATGCCGGAGTGAAGAAGGCGATAGAACAAAGATCATGAGCAGCGCAGCTGCCATCATCCCCAGAGCCCCTGTCTCGATTGAACACCAGCTCCGATGGTCCTGGAATTGCGCCCCGCTTTTCAGATTGTTTCGTCCCAGATCGCAGCATACGAAAATGCATGATGCGTCAGCACAAATCGTCAGCGGTCACAAACGCTCCAGTGTCTGAATCCGGAAGTATTCCAAATCTCAAAGCGAAATGGTTTATCGCAATTACGGACGCAAGTTCTTAACCTGAAAAGGCGTCCTAGTTCTGCGTACAGGTTACATTGCCAACTGCGCAGTGGTTGGGTGCCTCGCGTTTTGGGCGCCCAAGGCAGGAGCTCAGGCGTTCAATATGGAAAACGCGGATCTCGTTTTCGGGGGGGTGACAGTAGCGACTGGCCTCCTTGGGACGTTCGTGGGGGGGCTTGCGCTCGATTTCGTCGGCTCAACGATGACAAACGCATTTCTGGTGAGCGATTCCAGGCTTTGTTTTATGAGATGCCGAAGGAATGTATGGAGGTTGGAGGTTGATTGTTCAAAGCGAAGCTGTCGAAGTTGGAGGTCGAAAAGCGATGGCTTCGAGGTTTGATCATCTGAGAGCCTATTCCTCATCTTACTACCGCACTACTTTCAATCGCGGTAGAAGTAAACATCAATCATAAGCAGAAAGCCTGCTGGTTCGGGGCGGGGAGGGAGGGGGTTCAAGCAAAGGGCGATAACGAACGACACGTGCGCGTTTTACTGATAGGACTTGCGTCCGGTCGCAAACAACGAAACGTCTCGTACATTTCAATCCTGCGTCGAAGGTGCCAAAACACAGAAACAAAACGGGTGCATTTCTCAACGTTGCTAGCATCTCCTTGCAGCTCAACGCCTCCTCGACGGCGCTCGCTGCGGTGTTCCTCATCGGCTCGTTTTGGACCGGGACCGTCCAGCGCTTCGTGCCCATGCTGGCGGTGGGGGAGTTCTTCCTGTTCATCATGCAGGTAAAACAACCCCCCCGAAACTTTACGCCCGGACCTATTCTTTGTTCGAAGCTTCGAGCCCCAGGGTAGCTTCTGCCGCGCAATTGTTCGAGGTGAGCGGATTTGCCATGCAGGTAAAACATCCCCTTCCGAAATGGTTTTGGCCCCTCGTAGAAAAGGTCTAAGCACTGTAATTGACTGGCTGGGTTGTCGAAGCCGTTGCCAGACGGGGAAACATATCTTCCGGTATGAAGCAATATCAAGCCCCGAATCGCCGGCAGCGCCTGTCTCTAAATCACGTCGCTTCCTTCTCAATGCTTCGGCTCCAGAATGGCCTTCTGTAGGCACCCCACCTGGCAGATCGATGCGACTAACTCGAAAGTCGGTGGCGCGTTCTGCTCTTTTCTCTAGGTTCCCGTGAAAGCCATAACGCTGTGGTCCGATTTCCCCAAAAGCGTCCTTTACGAACACTGTTCAGTTTCTCTCACACCTCCGACTTCCTTCAGCGCCGCTTCAGTTTTGGATCTAAAGATGATGCGCGTCTTGCTTTCTCCCCCATAGGGCCCCGTGAACGCCATCTCGCTTTAGTCCGTTTACCTTAGAAGCGTCCCTTACGGAAAGTGTTCAATGGCTCGCATCTCCGGTCCCCCTGAGCGCCGTTTCTACTTAAATCTCGAAAGCTGAGGCGTGTCTAACTTTCCCCTTCATAGGGCCCTGTCAACGCCAATCACGGTGTGGTCCGTTGAACCTAAACCTGTCCAGTGTATCACACCTTCGATTTATTTCAGCGCCGCTTCCTTTGATCCG